AGGAAATGAAAAACTGACCTCAATGAGCTCAGGACTAGCAAAGTCCTGAATAATCCCAGCAAGCTGTGCACTGTCCACACTATAAGGAAGATTCCCAAAGTAAAGCTTTGTGTTCACGGCAACCTCCTCCTCTCCTGAAACTCCACCAGCTGCCGCCTCTCCTCCTCCTCCTAATTCTTCCACCGCGGCAACTACTTGTTCCTCTGCTTGCTTCTCCTCCTTCTCCTCCTCCTCCTCGGCCAAGACCACTTGCTCAACTTCAACCTCATCAGTCACTGCCACCCCTTCTTGAGCAACACAAGTAGTTGTTATCCTCAGCACCCGAAACTTATTCGAGGTCCCGATGCTACTAATGGAAAGTAGTGGCTCTATAGCAAAAGAGTGGGATAGTGATGACGGTGATGGCATGCGATTTGGTGACATTTTAAGGTGTAGATGATCGGGGGATGAATGATTGGATGATGAACGAATGCATTTGACGGTGTAGATGGAGGGGGAGAAAGATGAGCTCATGGCTGCAGCTGCGGTGGCAGCCATGGTGGTAGATCAACTGTGATTGTGTATTTTTGAGTGAGGTGAGAGGCCTGGAGGAGGACGGGGTGGTGGTGGTGGTGGATATTACAGTTGAATATTGGGTAAAAGCTATGTGAGCTGATGTGGGCACTTTGTGTCCAGTGAGAGCGGAAGAGAGATATGTGGGGGGATAAGGTGTGTCCATGTCCAATCTCCAATCTCCAATCTCCAATGTTTGTACCCCAAAAAATAAAAAATAAAAAAAATAGGATTCATTGTTCTAAGTTTCCATGACTGAGAAAAATCATCACTGGTTATGGCACTAGGTTTTATGTTAATTTTTAAGTAGTATATCACGCGAACCAATTACCAAATAAACACAAGTGTTTTTATTCTAGGATAATATAAACTTAAAATATTGAGCTCACTGCTCGTTTAGGGGAGCAAGTTTGAATAGTGTTTCCGATTCTAACAGTAAAATTTTAAATTCTGACCGAAAGAATATTAAAATGCATTACCCTTTGGATGAGAATGAGGAAATTAAACATAGAGTTTGGACGGAACATTCTTACCTCCTATTGTTACTGCCGCCACCAAGGGGATTTGGGGGCACTTTCGATTGATTACCTTTTTTTAGTTTATTCATGGTTTCTTTTTACTATTGGTTTTTTTTTGTATTCAAAATGATTTTGAGATTGACATAAATTTTCACTTTGGTTACTAAGATTTAAAATCAATATAAGTGGTTCCTGAGATTATTTACTGTTAATCATTTTGTAAGAAATCTCCGTTAAATTAAGTGTATTTTTGTCAAATTAACCCCTTCATACTAGTAGTTTTTTCAATTTAACGAAATTTTTCCGCCAAAATAATTGTCGGTGAACAATCTTAGGGACAACTTCTATCAATTCTAAATCTCATAAACCAAAATGAGGAATTATGACAATCTCATGGATCGTTTTGGTTAAAAAAATTTTTGGGTAAATTACACAAAATTACCTTAACTATAGGTTGCACCACAATCTTATACATAATGTTTTAAACATTGAAATGTCATTTATCAACTTATGAATTCCTTAAAATGTCATACCTCCATTAATTAATCCCTTAGAATAACCGTTAAGTGATGATGTGGCAAATGCTGGACCTATATTTTTCTAACATGGAATACCAAATAGATAAAAAAAAATATCTTTTTTTAAAAAGGAACAATTTATGAAAAAATTATGTCAAAAAAGTTAAATAAAGAGAAGTGGGGCCCACCCCACAATCAAACCATCCATCTCTCACCTTCTTCCCCTCCATTCGCACCCCTCCTTCCTTCACCTCCAAAACCACAGCCGCTTCCCCCGACACCCCTCCTCTTGCATTTCCAATTCCAACCAAAACCCACCATTCAGATTCAAGATTTTTGCTTCAATTTCAAATTTAAAAAGCAAAAAAACGCACAAACGAGGGTTTTTCCATCCTCACCCTTCTTCTCCTCCATTTCAGAGTATCTGCAGCACCCCACAGATCCCCTTCTTTCCCCTCACTTCTCTTTCTCGCCACACCTGCACCCAGGAACCACTATTGCACCCCGATGAATCCTCGCCGCAATTGAAGAAAGAGCCACCATCTCAGCAGCTACCATCTCAGAAGGCTTGGTGCTCAAGGAGATGGACTTGGTGTGGGAGGTAGGGGTGGAGGTCTGGAGGAGGAAGAAGGGGAAGGTGTCGGAGGAGGCTCGGGGACGTGGTCTTGTTGGTGAAGGAAAGGGGTGAGGGTGTGGTGTTTTTTTTGGGGGGGGGGGGGGGGGGAGGGAGCGGATGGAGGTGAAAACTCAGGAAGGAAGAAGGGTGAAAGATGGAGGTTTGATTGGGCTGGGACCCACCCCTCTTTATTTAATTTTTTGGACAAATTTTCTTTTTAAATTGTTTATTTTATAATTTTTTTTTTATCTACATAGTATTCCACATCAAAAGAAATACGGAGACAGCATTTACCACATCTTCATTTAACGATTAATTTAACAGAAGTAGGACATTGCAACGAATTCATAAATTGAGGTATAATATTACAAATTTTAAAATATAAAATATAAAATTATAATGCAACGTATAATTGAGGTAATTTTACATAATTTACTAAAAGCTTTTCTATTTAATCAACAGAATTTATCTCAACGTATGTGTGAATATTAAACCAAAAGTGATCACGTGTCAAGGCCCATGTGATCAGACTGATCACGGGTCAACAAGGCCCAAGTGCTTACGGGTCAAGCCCGAGTTCACATTTTTGCTTATTTGAGTTCCCGCGTAGTAGGCCGTTGAAGTCAAAGTAAATGGAGTATGCTCAACCGACGCCTCTCTCTACGACTCGCAAGATCTCTCTGCACGGCGGCGGCGACCGCAAAATCCTTTTCACAAAACCAGATTACAACACCATCCACCACTCTCAAACCCCTCAATTCCAAAATCTCATCTTTAATGCGGGATGGCTCTGTCGAAGAAGCCCAGAAGCTGTTCGACAAAATGCCACACAGAAACACCGTCACCTGGAATGCCATGATTCGTGGCTACTTTCAAAATGGGCAGTTCCAAGATGCGGTTTCTTTATTTGATCGGATGACTGAACATGATGTCTTCTCGTACAACACAATGATTGCTGGGTTGATGCAATGTGGGGATGTGGATGGTGCAAGGAAAGTCTTTGATGGGATGAATTTTACAGATGTTGTTACTTGGAATTCAATGGTTTCCGGGTATATTCGTAATGGGATGATTGGTGAAGCGGTACAAGTGTTTGATGGGATGCCGTTGAAGGATGTGGTTTCTTGGAACTTGGTAGTTGGAGGCCTTGTGAATAATGGAGATTTTGATTTGGCTGAAAAGTATTTTAAGCGAATGATTGTTCGGGATTTGGCGTCTTGGACTATAATGATTTCAGCGTTTTCTAGTGTAGGACGTGTTGTTGAAGCCCGAGAGCTCTTTGATGAAATGCCTGTGAGAGATATTCAGGCTTGGAATGCAATGATGGTTGGGTATATAGAAAATGGGTATGTTGAAATTGCGGAGGGGTTGCTTCACAAAATGCCCAAGCGGGATTTGGATTCTTGGGCTCAAATGGTAAATGGATTGGTCAGGATTGAAAGAGTCAATGATGCCATGAAGCTTTTCATGGAGATGCCAGAGAAATGTCCGAAAACATGGAACTCAATCCTTTTAAAATTAATAAGAAATGGTTTCACTAGAGAAGCTCATGCCGTTTTTGAGAAAAACCCTTACAAAGATGTTGTGTCATGGACAAATATGATTGTTGGGTATTTTGGAACTGGAGAGGTCGGCAGCGCTATTGAACTCTTTGAGTCAATGGAAACTCGAGATACAGCTGCATGGAATGCCACAATATTTGGATTAAGCGAAAATGATCTTGGTGAGGAAGGTTTGAAGCTTTTCATTAGAATGAAAGAATCAGGGCCATCTCCAGATAAAAGTACATTTACCAGTGTTTTGACAATCTGTTCAGACATACCAACCTTACAGCTTGGTAGACAAACTCATGCACTGTCAGTAAAATCAGGATTTGATAACATCATTGCAGTTTCCAATGCTATGGTTACCATGTATGCTAGATGTGGGAACATGGATTTGGCTTTCCTAGAATTCTCTTCCATGCAAAGCCGCGATGTCATTTCGTGGAATTCTATAATCTGCGGATTCGCTCACCATGGGAATGCTGAAGTAGCTCTGGAGATGTTCGAACAAATGAGATCAACAGATGTTCAACCCAATCACATAACCTTTGTTGGTGTTCTATCTGCTTGTAGCCATGCGGGGTTGGTGGACGAAGGCAGATTCTACTTCGATATGATGAAATGCAAGTATTTTGTTCAACCTACAATGGAGCATTATACATGTATAGTTGATTTGTTGGGGAGATATGGACTTATTGATGAGGCAATGAGTTTCTTAGATCAAATGAGAGCAGATGGATTTGAAATTCCTGCTAGTGTCTGGGGTGCATTACTTGGAGCCTGTAGAATCCACAAGAATGTTGAGGTGGGTGAGATTGCCGGAGAGAGGGTTTTGGACATAGAGCCCGGTAACTCTGGTGTATACTTGATTTTGGCAGAAATGTATCTGGCTAGTGGACGAAGGGAAGACGCGGGGAGGATTTGGGCAAGAATGAAAGAGCAAGGAGTGAAGAAGCAACCTGGGTGCAGTTGGATTGAGGTAAACAATATCGGGTATGTATTCCTTTCGGGGGACAAATCCCACCCAAAATTTCGAAGAATCCATTTTGTATTAGGTTTGCTACATACAGAGATTGAGGCTGAAATTTCGAAATCAAATGCTGCCTCATTTCAGCTAGTACAAGTTCCACCGGATGGGTTTTATGGCTGAGGTATCGACTTCAGCTAGTACGTGTCGTAGTAAATTGTATCACTTACATCATAGTTAATGAACAACAATTATGTGTTACAGAAATTGTGCACAAAACGTGAGTTATGCAAAATTTTCCTCGTTACATGGATTTCATTATGTGCATGGCAGTTTGTAATTACAAACAAAGCGAAAACTCCAATTCTCACAAGGCTTCATGCTGTTTCATTGAAACAGGAATATCTCCCTTTATCTACATAAATCCCTCAAGTAAGATTACCAATCTAATCCAAACTAAACGACACTCGACGTCCCACAGAGCTTGCTTTTCCCGTTCTAGGGGGTCGCCTCTGACTTGGAAGATTTGTCTCTGACCCCTTCCTTCCCTTCAGAGAGTTCTCTTCCGAAGCCCCCTTGGATTTTATTGTTTTTGTAGAATTTTCAGTAATATGGGATGGAACGGATTGTGTGTGGTTGTTCTTGACCAGGCTATGATTCTTCAGAGGTGGCGTTCGCACTGCTTTGATCCTGTTTTTGCTTCCAATCGCTGTATCATTTACTGAAAATAAAATGACCAAACAAAAGGTTAGAAATAAATGAACAGTATAACATGTTGATCACAATTTCAAATTTTAAATCAGATTAAACTGATGCTGCTAAAATATGAATACAAGCTAGGAAAACATGCATCTGGTTCAAGTTCCACATATCGAACTCAAAACGTTTATAGGTTTACGGTAATTTCTCAATTCATCGATTGAAACATCGTAGTTATTTTGGGATTAGCCAAATATAATTACATCTCCATGAGTTTAAGGTGTTCCATTGAGAGTTATAATTCTTAAAACTCTAAGTGTAAACAAGAAAAGCCTCATTGCAAAACACCTCGATAGAGATGAGCAAGGAAGAAAAATTACCTGGACTTGATAAGACAGCGCGCGGCCTAGGGATTGAGCTGGCTCTAATATTTTGTTTGATTTCCTCTTCAACTTTGTCGTCTTTCGTTTCTCCTGTCAAAAACATAGATTCAAATGTCAAAACTGGAAGATAATACAGAATGAACATTTTTCCCCTTGATAAGGATGATGTACAGAAATGACATTTGCATGGTCACTAAGCATATGAGTATAGTGTAACTAAACCTTCAGTTGCAGATATTGATGGCATCACTACACTCGGGACATAAGATTCAGGATTTCTCGCAACAGTGGGCGGAGACTCTTCGTGCTCCTTCTCTGTAGATAAATACAAGTTTCAAATCACCCAATGACCAATAAATCTTGAGGAAAAATAAAAAGTGAGATGAATGAACATGTTATTACAAAATTAGAAAAGGTAGGGAGAAAGAGGAGGGACAAAATCCTTTGATAGTGAGCTAGTATTTGAAAGAATGGAATTGCTTTTGGTGTAAGGTTGGTCATATGAGTAAACCATTCAAGCTCAGACGACTCAAACTGAAATTAGAGGCTTAAAACTGACGCTTCTATTGGCCCAAGAAAAACATCAGTAAAAAGTTTTGTGCTAAAAATACAATATCAGGAGTTCACATTGATTGGAATGAACAGATTGTTGGAGTTACATATAACGAGGGATAGTGGAAATTAAGCTTGCAAGAAACCGACATATACTGAACCAACGAACTGAGCTTCATCTACAAAGGTCTGGCTATTTGCTTAATCGCAGTTCTAACAGTATACACCGTTTGCATTAGTTTGCAAGTGAGAGTGTTGATATCGACAGAGAGGGAGGTAGTTTCAAAAGCCTATTACTCAATACTCCATAAATCGACAGAGAGGAACTTTAATTTAATTTGTGTTCTAAGCTGGGAAATACAGGATCGAGAAATGAAAACCTGGAAAGCAAAAATCAGTGAGGGGTTGATGATCATCCTGGTCTTCTTGTTGCCTGACCTTCACCTTCGGGTACCCTTCAACATCCCAAACACCAAAAAACATGAAAACCCATTTCAGAACACAATCAAACCAACCCAAAAATACAAAGAAAAACAAGAAAAAAAAAATGAAAATTGATCACAAACCCATTTTTTTTTCCTCTTCCTCTTTCCCTTCTGAGAGCTCTGAAGGGTTTTGGAGAATGAAATGGATGGCTATGAATTTTGGGATTTATTCAAAAAGTTGGGATCTGGGACCAAATTGCTTTCTGGGTTCTCTCTTTTTCTCTCCGATTCTATATTCTATAAATCGTATATAATAATATGATGATGGAAGAAAGGAGGGAGGGACGTGCAAGGAATCGTCGTCAGGTCAAAAGAAAGAGGGCCGAAATCTTAGACTGACGAGTGTGTCTTGAGCACTTGCAAGTCCCGGCTGATCACGCCTAAATCGTGACGCTTGTATAGTGAAATTAACAAACGCCATGTCGTTTCCGGGCTTCCCTCTTGGTCTTTGAATTTGGGATAAAGCGGGAGTTTTGAGTAAATTCTAGTAATAGTCTATTAACTTTAATCAAATTGAAGTAATGGTCCCTCAACTAAAAATTCATTACCATTGGCCCTCAACTCACCAAATTGTGTAGCTATGGTCATTTCCGTCAACTTTGTCAGAGTTTTGTCAAAATAAGTTATGTTGTAAGGACTATTACTACAATTGGGTTAAAGTTTAGAGACCATTGCTCCAATTGAGGTTAAAGTGGAGGTACCATTTCTTCAGTTGTATTAAAGTTGAGAGACCAATGGTAATGAATTTTTAGTTGAGAGACATTTTGATAAATTGAGAGACCATAGTTGCACGTTTTGATGAGTTGAGGGACCAATGATAATGAATTTTTAGTTGAGGGATCATTGCTCCAATTGAGTTAAGGTTAAGGGACCGTTGCTACAATTTACTCGGGGGTTTTCGAATTCATTTCCGCAGATATAATGTGACATCCCGTCCCGAAACTATCGAACCGTACGTGTGAAATGACCATTTTACCCCTAGTTTGTTCTATTAGGTTTTTGGTGTTTAGTGTGGTGTGGACAGGTGTGGGGGTCACACACACACACATTCACACTTGCTATCTCTCTCTCCCTCTGACTTTCCTCTCTCTCTCTCCCCCGAGCTCCATTTCTCCTCCTTCCCTTTGAAAACGTACGGACCAAACCCAAAACCATCCAAAACCTTGCAGATCGAGGGAACCAAGTACACCATCGTGATGGTGAGGCCGAGAGGAGTCTAGTGGTGCCATTTTCAGGTGAGAAACCAGTCGTTTTCACGTCGATCTCGTAAGCTCCGTTTTGAGCACTGTTCATGCAAACCTAATCTAGTATGTTTTTGGACATTCTAAGCTTGTAGATGTGTTAGTGAGGCCTCAAGGAGCTTGGGAATGCTTCGTTGGGTGAATTTGGACGTCGGGAAAGCTTAGTTTCAAAGTTGGCCGAACTTGGATCGTTGTTGCAGGTGAGATTCTTTGATTTTTAGGCCTTAAAAGTAGTCTAACGTGATTCTACTAGTCCTAAGCTTCATTTTGGTTTAAAGAACGTGAAAAATGGTTGAAAAACGAGTGAGAAAACGAAGTTTGAAAAATTTCCAGTTTTCCGGCGACGGCGCCGGCGACGGCGGCGGCGCAGGCGGCGGCGGCTCGCCGGAGAAGACAGGGGAATATTCCGTTGGACTTAACGGAATATTCCTACAGGACTAACGGCGTCAGTCAACGGAATATTCCGTCAGTCAACGGAATATTCCGTCGGTGTGCCGTGCACGTGGCCGCGCGTGGGGGCGCGTGGACCAGTGCCATTCCAGGCGCGTGGGGGCGCGTGCGTGGTCCAAAAATTATTTTAAAAATATGGTTGTGATCGTGAGGTTGTGTAGGTCACGTTGGTATATTCATTTGTCCATTTTGAGCAATGTATGAGAAGTTATTTTGAACGGACGGTTATGTGCTCTAAAGTTAACGTTTTTATAGTTAATTCGCATATAGGTGACACGTATCCCGAGGACGAGCGTGCACATTCGAGGCAGGGGGGCTACGACCCTTCTACATACCAGTGAGTGGGCTTTTGTTTTCCGTATATACCTATATACATTTATATTCCCAGAAATTGATTTAAAAAGGGTTATTTGCCTTATGCCATGTACTTTATTATTTATCGCTTATGCATCGTTGCATGCATTATTTGTGGCATACATATACATATGCATATGTCATATATATTTATGTGTGGGTGCTGTGGAGGCATAGGTAAGTGCCAGGTAAGCGTTAATTAACGATTGCATTACATAGTGTTTAGAGATGCTTAGAGAGCTCATAACCTGCACCCCCGGTGTTAGTGCTCCCGCCCAGAGTAGGGCACAGTCCTTCACGTGTTGTTCACCTCCCGCACCATACGCTCAGCTTGGATCCAAGTTAGGTGCATAGGCCTGTCGTACAGACCACAGTAGGTGGTTCCGACTCGTAGGTGACCCGCGATTATTCGCACAGCCTTCACGTGATCGTAGCACTAGAGCGTATATACATGTTACACCCAGGCCTGTCGTACAGACCCTTTAGGTGGTTCCGACTCGTGGGCAGGTTTAGTTATTGAGATTGACATTTGAGCTCTATATACAGCCGTACAGGTCGCGTTAGGTGACTCCGGTTGCCAGAGGATTGTGTGATTGATACGACTCACACCTGAGCACTTGCATATCATTAGGAGATTTTGTCATAGCATATATTGAGCATGATTGGCATACCCTTGAGCATGTTTGAGCATATCTATACATACGTACATATGTTATTTTCTGGGACGTATACAGGTTTTACGGCGAGGGGTTAGTTTGTGTTTTGCTAAATGGTTTTCAAAGAGCTTTGTTTTTGCCCACTCACGCTTTTGTTTTTGCGCCCCTCCAGGTTCTAGTTGCTTAGCCGTTGCGGTGGTTTCCCTTGCGAGCTTTTCGGCGTTCTGACAGACACTCCACATTGTAGGTTCGCCTTCGGGCGTACTACGGTTGTTATTTATTTGGACTGCTATAGACCTGCTCTGAATTTGTATCGCACTAACTAGCACTTATTCTGGTACTTGAATGCTAGTTTTTAATTATTCGTACTTTTTATTTCTACTCTATTAGCTTCCGCACGTGCACATGGCTACGTCGCCTTTGTGTGACGGCCAGCACGCTCCTACCTCGGTCGGGGTGTGTCAGTTTGGTATCAGAGCCTAGGTTTGGCAGTCCTGTGTCCTTGTGAGTATTCTAATAATTTTGGTGTCTTCTGTCAGAACTATGCCGCCTCGTCGGGAACCCCGTCGCTCTTCTGAGCCTACGTTCCCTGATATTACCCAATTGGGGGAAGCTTTTGCTACAGCCCTTCAGGCAGTGATGCGCCCTCCCCAGAGGACTCCTCTGGAAACTATGTACAATCTGAAGTTGGATAAGTTTAAGGGCAGTGAGGGACCCGAGAACGCAGAGCGCTGGCTAGAACACATAGAGAAGACTTTTCGGGTGCTACATAATCAGGGGAACTTGCCTATGGAGAGATGGGTTGAGACGACCGCTTGGTTTCTTGATACGGAGTCGGCAGCTTGGTGGGAGCAGGAGCTTCGTAGGTTGACTCCGGATCAGAGGGTCGAGTGGAATGTTTTTACGAGGTTGTTTAGGAGAAGGTATGTGCCCCCTGAGTATATTGACCGTAAGAAACAGGAGTTTTCCGAACTGAAACAGCGGAAGATGTCAGCGAATGAGTACTACCGTAAGTTTACGGACTTGTCCCGTTACCACCCTGATGTCGCTGGTAATCCGGCGGAGATGCTCCGTCTTTTCCGTTTGGGCACTAGGAAGAAGTGGCGTTCTATGGCGTCTGCAATCCACAGCGAGACTTATCGGGACTTCTATGAGATACTACTGAGGATCGAGGATTCGGAGAATATGTCGAGCGATACTGATGAAGAAAAGGACGGCAACCAGAAGAAAGATGACAAAGGTAAAGGTCAAGCATCGCTTGGGCCCCGTCAGACTCAGAACTTCAAGAGAGGTGGAGCTAGTTCTAGTTCTTCGAGTGGTGGCTTCAGTGCCACTGGGCAGGGTCGTGGAGGTAGATTTTCTGGTGGCGCTAGAGGCCAGAGGCAGGGCGATGGTGGGCGAGGCAGAGCCCCAGTTTGTCGTAGGTGTAACAACCGGCATTTCGGTGAGTGTAGACGTGGTAGCAATGGTTGCTTCACATGTGGACAGGTGGGACATAGAGCGGCACATTGTCCCCAGGGCCAGCAGCAGCAGAAACCACAGCAGACCTTTATGCCACCACCTGCACCACTCCAACAGCTCCAGGGTCCTAGTGGTTACGGACAAGCAAGTCGAGGTGGTGCCTACCACTACCAGGGTGATGCTGTACCCTATGCCTCGGGACAGTATCAGTATCCTCAGGACCCCTACTCCCAGGGTGGTTACCCTCAGTATTCGGGCGGCTATATGCCGTATCCTCCAGCTCCAGCCGGCAGTTCTCAATGGTATCAAGGAGGACAGTTTCAGACAGGAGAGATTGCTACCAGTAGTGCAGGGTCTTCGAGACAGACCGGTCAGCCCAGTCAGGGGCGTGGTACGCAGAGTCGTGGTGCTCAGGCGAGCAGAGGTCGTGGCGGACGGCAGCAGGGCCAGGGGCGTATACACAACATTTCTTTGCAGGATGCTCAGAACAACCCGGATCTGATTATGGGTACGTTAAATATTCTTGGTTATTTTGCTAGAGTCTTAATTGATTGTGGAGCTACACATTCTGTGATTTCTCATACATTTGCTCAAGTGACGCAACCTCGCCCCACACCCCTAGGGTATGATTTAGAGTTCGCTATGCCTAGAGGGGAGAGATGTATTGTGGATCGCGTGTACCCAGGTTGTCCAGTGATAGTGGAGGGCGTGGTTATGCCCGCTGATCTTATCCCGTTAGATATTGTGGATTTTGATGTGATTTTGGGCGCGGATTGGTTGCACCCCAATCGTGCCAATATTGATTGTTACGGGAAGATAGTTACATTTCGTCGTCCTGGACTACCCGTGGTTAGCTTTGTTGGTGAGCAGAGTGGGGTGAGACATGGTGTTATTTCGGCGCTACGAGCGAAAAAGTTGTTGACTAAGGGTTGTCAGGGGTATTTAGCCCATGTGGTGTTGGATGAGGTTCCTCCTTGTGGTGTTGAGGACGTGAGGGTCGTCCGACACTTTCCAGATGTTTTTCCCGAGGAATTGCCTGGGTTACCACCAGATCGAGATTTAGAGTTCACTATCGAGTTGCTTCCAGGTACTAATCCTATTTCGTTGACTCCTTACCGTATGGCACCTGCTGAATTAAGGGAATTGAAAGTGCAACTGCAAGAATTAGTGGATAAGGGTTTTATTC